TAGATAGATAGATAGATAGATAGATAGATAGATAGATAGATAGATAGATAGATAGATAGATAGATCATCGCACTTGCACTAGTCCATCCTGGCCATTTCAAAAGTACTTGCAAATCATCAATATAGGCCACCTGTAGCCTTTTCAGGCTGATTTTTATATATAGACTAGAGGTGAGCCATATACAGAGAGGTACAATATGCATTAAAAAGTTCCACTCTTACCACATCAGTACATTCACCAAATTAACGAGCAAGGGTATTAGCTTCAGCATACAACATTCTACAATGTCTACAGATATCATTATCAACTGCCAGATTCTCTGTGATGATGTGCCCAAGACAATTGGTTTTATTAGTAACACCCAGCACAGTATTTGACAGATGAAATCTGGAAACTGAATAGATGTATCTTCTGTACTCTTAAAGATCATTACCACATTTATTGTAAATACATGGTAAATATAACTAGTCTATATTTTAGAGTAGTTGGAATTATTATTTTTTCCATGTAAATACATCAATGGATTTTTTTTGTTAAGTGCCAGTATGCATGATGCTAATCTGTGGGCTCAGACCATTACAGTAGTTCTTCCTCAGATTGACAGCAGGGGGGAAGCAACTGTCTCTGCATCTCGGTTGGCACCAACCTGAGGGCTAAAGAATTCTAGTTGCCCTTTTCTTTATACGGGACCTGTACGAGGGGAAAAGTTGTGGGGGAAAAGTCAGTATGCTGCTATATGATTAGGCTCCTGGAGGTCATATGGACCATGTCTAACATCCTGCTCCATTTTATCTCTGTTCTCCTACTCTGCAGTATATAAGGTCTACTCATAACTTTATGTTCTCTCTGCTTTTTCCTGTCATAACAGCTTCATCTGGTCTCTTCCTGTTGACGGTAACTCCATCTTAGATTGAAATATCAGCTGTGCTGCTGCCATCGACATCCCTGTTTATAGATGTTGCAACTTGGCCTGTTTTACAGTATAGTCCTGTTTCTTTTACTGTGACTAATTGTATGTGCTCTCTTTCTTCCTCTGACATGAGAACTGGTTCATTGCTTGAACTGAATCAAATAGAGACGGTTCTGTTGAGTCGATTTTGAGCAGTTTAAGGTTTTTCTGAACACACAAGTAACCCAGGAGATCTTCTGCTTATCCAGACAGACTTGTCACTGTAATCTGTGACTTGTAATCTGTGATACCATTTGCCCGGTGGGCTGTAGTCTGGTCTTTCAACCAAAAAAAGAGAATGTTAATTTGTTTGATTGGCGAACCATTCAGCTGAAACTTATTAGTTGCATGCAAGAGTTTACCTTAATGTTTGTTTTCCTGCTTATAAAATATAACCACAAAGAAAATCACTAAACATTGTGATAAATGCAAGTGAAACCTCTTGGACTCCAGTTCAGAATAAAAAAGGGACCTTCAAATAAGCATAGGTGGGAGTGCATGTATATAGTATTTCAGCCTCCATTTATTTGACAGTGACTGACAGCATTGATACAGCAGTTTATCTCTTTTATAATCACTAAAATTTTTCTGAATGATAACAATTCATCACACGCTAAAGAATAATCATGCTGAGGGACTGTAAACTTCTGCCAGGAGATGAGTGTCATTACATCTTTCTGCTTCCTGCACAAGTTAAAACAGAGTGCTTTACAGCTTGTGAGGTGTTATTGTTAAATGTTAACAGCTTGATTCTTTATCATTAACCATGTCTCCTGGCGGGTTATGGAAATGAGGAAGCTGGCTTTAGGGCAGAGCAGGTTTCTCGTAACGACTCAAAGGAAAGAAATGTTGTTTATCCAGTTTTTAGTGAGCTAAAAAAAAAAAACTCTTTTAACCCATAATGATTGCTAGATGATTTAAAAAAGGTTAAACTAAATTTACCAACAACTTCGTGTAAAGATTTCTTGGAGGAAATGTTAAAGTTACATATATATATATATGTATTTTATACTTATATGGTCTGCAGATTTCGCAGTAGGATTAGGAAAGGTACTGACTAAAGAAAAACAATTACGCAACATAACTCGTCTAACTGGTTACTCCTCACTGTGCAGTTAAAACCATCATACTGTTTTTCAGCATGAACAGACCTGAAACACCATCCCAGGGACAGCATCACTGCAGCAATCCACCTTTGCTGGAATTACACTGAAGAGGAATCAGCGATTTTCCTCTGAACGGCTTCCGAAGGATAACACAACATGGCTGAGTCGATTATTTTTCAATCCTACCTGAGCTGCCCCGTTTGTTCGAACACATTAAAAGATCCCGTTTCTCTGAGCTGTAGCCATAACTTCTGCGCCAGCTGCCTACAGAGATTCTGGCACGAAACTAAAACCAAGAACTGTCCCATCTGCAGGAGAAGATCCTCTAAAGAAAGGCTCTCATTGAACTATACGCTGAAGGAACTGGCTGATTCTTTTGCTCGAACGCAGGTGTTTGGACCACCTGGGATGGCAAGGAGAGAGGAGAACTTATTAGTGGTCTGTAACAGGCATCCAGAAGATCCTAAATACTACTGTAAAGATGAGCAGAGAGCTGTGTGTCACATCTGTGAGTTTATTCTCCACCAAAATCATAAAGTGCTTCCAATAGAACAGGCGATCAATGAGCTGAAGATGCAGCTGAAGTCGGATTTAAGGACTCTGCAAGACAAGAGGAACTGGAGCATGCAGATGGAGAAAACATACAGTGAAATGGGAGAACACCTAAGGATTCAGGTGTTGAACACAG